GGAGCAAACATTCAGAGGCCAAAGCCTGTGTTAGAGCACGAACCCCAACTAAGAGACGGTGGAGGCTGACCGTCTCCTTGACAGCAGTCGACGAGGCTGGTGACCTTGGGGTGACCTCGTAGCCTCACGGGGCAGGGGGCTGGTGACAGGTCCCAGGTGGCCGTCTCACCCACCTCTGCGTGAAGGAAGACCTCACAGAGGACCCCAGAGCCTGTGCCCCATCAGACGGCTGTCACACACGTCCCACTGCCTGGGATGAGACTCCGGCCGGATTTCTGGGGAGGGGTCCTGTCTGGAGGTCCGCGCGAAGCCCCAAGACGGGGAGAGGTCCGAGGCTGCTGAGAAGCTCTGGAACGAGGTGCCCCTGCTATTGGGAGGGGTAACCGGCCGTGCTCCGATGTGCAGACGCCGGGCCGCAGACTTAGCTGCTGTGGCTGCACCGACCGCCCAGCGGCAGGACCGGGCTGGCTGGGCAGGGCTTGCTTGTGGGGGTCAGACGTTACCTGCTTTCCTTGACCTTGTCTACACTTACAAACCGCCTGTTTAACAATTCACTCTGCAGCCCTCGTGGGAAACGATAGCCTCCACGCGAATTGTGATTTCCGGAATGAACTGTGTCTGGAGGTGAAGCTAACACTTGGCGTGATTTTTGTTTTCTATGTCGTCATCATTAGTATTTCATGACTTCCGATTTGCACGTGGTTTTCATAAATACTCTGCTTCGAAAAGGACCTGAGACGCGGATGCCTCGGAACAGAGGACATCCTAAGAAAGTGGCCTTGGTGCAGGGAGGAGGGGACAGCTGTGAGGTGTCCCCCCGCCCCAGTCCATGGTCACCACCATCCAAAGCTCGCCAGCCTCTCGCCACCGGGGTGCTAGAACCCCTGCACGGGACGCTCCGTGTGACCCGTCAGAACTGCAAACACAGTTCAACAGGGCTTTAAAAAAATCCATTGTCGAAAATTATCTTGTGATGTCTTTTAAACAATTTATGGCCCCAGTTTTTGTGTCTTACATTAGAATGTTTTTGAAACCCTCTTGCTCGTGAAGCAAGCACTTGACCATAGTACCAGCTTCTCCCCCCAAATTCCTCAACTTATTTAAAAAAAAAATCCAAAAAAAAAAAAAAAATCCATTCAAAGGAGTTACACTAGAAACCAGATGTTTAGAGGATTTAGGAACAGAGTTTATTTTCTTAAGGGAATAACATTAAAATCCACAGAGTTTTAGATAAAATGACCCGGCTGGTAAGAAAGAAAAGGCATTCATCTCCGAATGACACACGGAGAATATTATAATTCTGGTGGCCCTTTAGGGCAGTAATCATGAAGTGATCCAGAACATAGGACCATCCCATCCGCAAACAGAAGCAGACGTGCCGGGACATGTTCCCCTCCCTGCGTCCATCTGGGGGTGTTCTGTGCGCCTGTGGTCAGCATCGGATGCCAGGCCTCTCTTCTCGTCTCCTGTCTCCCCTCCCCTCCCCTCCTCTCCCCTCCCCTCCCGTCCCCTCTCTCTTCTTTCTTTAAGATCTTGGGAAAGAGAAAAACAAAGTATCCTCAGGCGAGTTCAAGCCAAAATGTCACCACCAATGAAAACTCTAAAATCTAAAATGCGACACTCTTAGTTCCTTCTCCTACGGATAGTTGAGATTCTTTGCTCTTAAAGACCTCACTGATTTCACATGAGGAATTAACTGCCTCGCCACGTTATCAGGGAAGAAAGTCCTCAGGTTCCTGATGCCATTTTTGGAGGTGAGATTAGGTGTGTGCTTTGGGCACATTTACTTGAAGTTCTTGGACAGCAAGAATACACAGAACGTGAAATGTTCTGGAGATTCGTTTGTAAACCTTTGATGTGAAATGTCAAGAAGGTGAGCTGCCGAGGTGGGAAGGGGGTGTGGTGCAGGGAGGAGGAGGCAGCCCGGACGGTAGCCGGGACAGCCTTAGAAAGGCGCCGAGCCAGCTTCACGGACGGGCGCACCAGGAGCATGGACGCGGTGGCAATGTCCAGGTTGTGGGCGCTGCGGGTTCCGCTGTGAGAGCAGCACCTGTCCGACCCAGTGGGTTGAGTGACATCATTTACTGCAGCTGCTGGGTCTCCACAAAAAGCGGCTAAAGAGGAGGAATGATCTGGAATCTTCTGGAAACACACATGTGCTGGGAAATGTCATCGGGGAAGAGACCAGCGGGTTAAGAGTCCGCACCTCCTTGACCCTGTCCCCTTTGGGCTTCTGCGAGGACGCTGGGTTCTGTAATCCGCCCATGCCTGGGGACGTGCTGACTTTGCTTTCTAGTCAGCACTGTGACTGTTAATGTATCCCCCCCACCTCCGTAACCAAAACGAAGTTTTGGAAAGATGAGATTCGGTGAATTATTACCTTTTCCGTGGTGTAAGTGTTGCATCAGCTCGGCTGCATGACTGAAGTTATTTCGGGAGGGAAATTGGGGTTTGGGGTGACTCACCCCGGTCTGTGTGGTACGTAGCGGGTGGTCCGTGGAGCCATGACTGCAAAGTGCCTCCTGAACAGAAAAGGGGCACCTTGTCCTTAGGCGACAAATAATCTTCAATTTCTGTCTTCAGTGGACAAGTCGGCAGCGGGAAAGGATAGCATCTGTGTTTCTGTGGGGACTTAGAACCTCGCTCTGCTCTTGCTTTCTAAGTGGGGATCGGAGTCTGCAGCAGTGACGTGAGTGCGGTTTTCTTCGCCGAGCCTGCTTGGGATTCTCTCTCTCTCCCTCTCTCTGCCCCTCCCCTGCTCATGCTCTGTCTGTCTCTGTCTCTCTCTCTTTCTGTCTCTGACTCAAAATAAGTAAATAAGCTTAAAAAATTAAAAAAGAAGGGATCACAAATCAATGACATTCTTTTTTTAAAAATATATTTATTTATTTTTTTGGAGAGAGAGACAGAGAGTGAGCAGGGGAGGGGCAGAGAGAGAGGGAGACACAGAATCCGAAGCAGGCTCTGGGCTCCGAGCTGTCAGCACAGAGCCCGACGCGGGGCTCGAACTCATGAACCACGAGATCATGACCTGAGCCGAAATGGGACGCTCAACCCACTGAGCCCCCCAGGCTCCCCAAATCAATGACATTCTAATTCACGTCTCCTAATTGAGCTCATAGGAACATGATGTCCTGACCAAAAAGAATCCATTTGCCTATATTCATTGTTTGTGTTCAAAAATAGAATAACCATTGTTTTTACACACATGCCAAATACTCCTCGAAGATGTGGAAATTGGAGAGTTTCCCTTAACCGCTGGAAGAAAAAAGGCCAACGATTCCTGCGGAGGCTGCTGACCGGTGGCCAGGGTTTGCCGTTCGTACGAGCTTCCTCTACTTTAAAAGGTGTCGAATACCAGTTACGTGGAGATAAAATAATGCCATTTATAACTTTTGAGAAACGGAAGTGTTCACCCCATTTAGACAGACCTCTGTCCGGTACTGTAAGTCGCTGCTATTGCGACTTTATCTGAAACTATTTGCTCTTAGACGAACGTATGGGGAGGAAAAGAAAGAACTGTGGAGAGTCCTGACTACCCAGAGTTCAACGTGCGAATGCATTTCCTTCACTCCGTTTAGAGGAGCTTCTCAGCCGGCGCGTCCCGACGTGTTCCAGCACCTCGTGCATTGCCAAGCGCTTAGAGCAGGTCAGAGGACAGAGTGGTCAGATGGACGGTGGATTGAAGGGCGTCTCAGAGAAGCAGAGACGGACTCAGCCACACGTTGCTGGCCCCGGGCGGGTAGATACCCTGTCACAAGTGACGCAGGAAGTTCTCTGGTGACAAGTTGTACCCGTTTCTCCCGGGGTTTTAATTTCAGGAACAAGAGCTTTTATTTCTTTTTCCTCCTGGGAAATCCTGCTTCTCTACGGGCAGAAAAAGCTCATCTGCCTGCTTCTTCTGACGCAGCGTCTCTGGGAGAGCAATGAGACACGCTGCGCATCAGCCGTGGCCAAAACGCCCTTCAAGAAGGAGGAGGACACACGTCTGTGCTGCGCACACTGCGTCCCCCTGTCCTGTTGATGGCCCTTCTCAGCACAGGGCTGTGGACGTGAACACGGGATTCTCAGACGCTCACTCTGTCCCCAGTTGCCACTTCCGTGCTTGCCCCACCCAACTCTCGCCCAAACTGTGAGAAGCAGAATGGATTTCCTTGAGGGCCCCTTTACGTGTCCCTGAGGCCCCGGTGGGACCAAATGACAAGAATCCGTACAGGAAAGAAAAAGTGGCCCACCGGGCGGGGGTGGGGGGCAGGGGGCTCGGATGGTTAGGCGTCCAACTCTTGGTCTCAGCTCAGGTCCTGACCTTACGGTTCGTGAGCTCAATCCCTGCATCGGGCTTTGCACTGAGAGTGAGGAACCTGCTTGGGATTCTCTCTCTCCCCACCCCTCCCCCTCTCTCGCTACCCCTCCCCCCGTCTCTCTCTGTCAAAATAAATAAACTGAAAAAAATAAAATAGGCACAAATAAGGGGGGTTATGTAAAGCCCCATGGTGTCCCGACTTTCACAGTAAACCCCCGTGTGACAGGTACCCTCCCTCACCAGGAAGTAGAGATAGCCCGTCACCAGGGATGGGAACCTTTTCTGCTTTTCACCCCAGCCCAACTCTTCTTCAGAATTCCTACCTAGTGGAAGTTCCCGAAGCCAAGCTTTCTTTCTCCGGTCCGTTCCTGACAGATTTATAGCCCTTTTGTCCTTAAAGAATAAAAACCACCTATTCTGGTCATCTCTCTGGGTCTCCATTTCATGATTGGGCCTCTGCGCGCATAATAATACTTTGATTTTTCTTTCCTCCTGTTGATCTGTCTCATGTAAATTTAACTCCCAGTCCAGCTGTAAGCCTTGAGGGCAGAGAAGACTTTTTCCCTCCCTTCACCCTGGTCCTCAAAACCCGTAGCATTACCCAACTCGTCATAACGTCAGTGTACGATGAAAGCGTGATGCATGCGGGGGACCCCGTTGGTTGGTGCTTTCATCGTGTGTCACTGCTCTGTTGTAGGAGGAAGGCACCGTGAAGGAGATCGACATCAGCCACCATGTGAAGGAAGGGTTTGAAAAGGCCGACCCTTCCCAGTTTGAACTGCTGAAAGTCTTAGGACAAGGATCCTACGGAAAGGTAAGTTGGAGCTTTGATTCCCCCTGAGTGAGTCTCACGCACTAGATTGTTGGGGAACAGGCACGATGGCAGAGTTGCGTCCTGGACACAGGAAATGTGCAGGCCCTGAGGCCTCGGGAGTGAAGCTCGCAGGCAGGGCCCCCCCGCCCCCCGTGCACGGCCCCGTGTTAACAGCAGCCCGCACTACACGCAGGATCGTGAACTCACTCTGCACAGCTCCGATCCGGTAGCGTGGGGCTGTGCCAACCAGGACTGCCCGGACCCGCGGGAATACCCCACACGGTCCCCTCTCCTGAGACGTCCCTAGACGTCCGCTCATCACGATGGTGACGAGGGTTCTTCGACCCAGCCAGTGTCTCTCGGAAAGCACACGCTCAAGAAAGGAGAAAGCGGTGCCCTTCAGGGCTGGCCCTCAGGAGTCAGGAAGGCCGCGACTTGCCCCTGGGCTCCTCTCCTTACCCTCTGCCTCTGTTGTGCAGTTACTCTCTCTCTGAGCCTCGGTTTCCCTGTCTACCAAATGGGGGTAAGGAGAACTATGTGATTATTGTACCGATTGAAGACGGCTAGAATCCCGTCAAGCGCCAGCTAAGCCGTATCTGTGCACAGGGTTGCGTCCTTTCTTACCTTGCGAGTGCCGGGACCGCTGATCCCTCCCAGGGGGTGAGATGTGGGCGGGTCCACAAACGGCAGGACAGCCGTGAATCGTTTCAGTTACGATGACGTGTGCGTCCTTCCCGCACAGCGCGGACTCCTTTGTGTCCGCGGCGGAACTGTTAGACATCTGTAGACTCTGACAACCTGATTTCTGGAATATCAGGGCCCGAGAGAAACAGGAAAGCCAAGCTTTCCTAGGGTGTCAGCAGAGCAGCACCCTGCATCTTCCAAGTAGTCATTTTTGTACAGACGTTCACCAAATCTCTCCATTCCTCGTAGGACTTTGTGCCAAGATGAAATCTGGTGCCTATTGGTTTAATGTCGGATTAATACTGTGTTAATGATGTTTTGGAACATCTCTTACAGACCCTGAAGATGTGATTGCGAAATTTATCTTTTGACCTGCTTCTCAGGTGGAAGGAATGTGTTTTTCTTATTTCTTTTTCACTCTCGTACGGTGACATGGTAAGGAACGCGTCGGATGTGGGTACAAACATACGAGTTTTGAACCGTACAAAATTACCAGCATTCAGAACTTTGCGTCCTACAAAAATGTCTACTTAACATGGTTCACAGGGTATTTTTGGAAGTAGGGGATGAAGATTTCGGTCTCTCGGCCTCAGAAGCGTCACTGAAAGCACAAGGCAGAGTCGGTTGACGTGGTGATGGAACGTGTGCCGTTAATTAGAAATGTCAGAAAAAAGGCCAGTGGTGCAATTCTGTCTCTGAGGATGATGGTTTCAGAAAAGAGGTGAGCAAACGCACATACATTCCCCACGTTTGTTTCCTGAGGACGGATTCGGCCCGTGGGGCACACGACCCGCCGAGTGACCTCGTGTGCAGCGTGGGGCCCGGCCTGGTGGGCGGGGCTCCTGCGTGTGACAGAGTCCCCCTTCCTTCACGGTGGACGTGCCCAGCACCGCAGCTCAAGGTGCTTGGTCACGGCATGGATGGGACCGTGCTCCTGAGCTCAATGGAGACGCGGGTCTGGGGTTCTGGGGGTCCGTTCAGAGACTCGACTGGACAAGACGTACCCTTGAAAATGCCCTCCCGAGAGACCTGGGGGTTAACAGTGAAAGGCGAACAGGCTTCGTCCAAAACGCACCAGATTTCAAATTTTGAATTAACAACTGGCTTTAACAAAAAACCATCCTTTGGAAAGCAACAAGTGAAGTGATGTGTTTGATAGACTCCCTCGAGTGACCGTCTTTGGACTCCACACCCTTCCTCCACGCCTTCCACGCACCTGGTCGCTTTACGTTCACTTGTGCCGTGACACGTGTGGGACCGGAGGGTACAGCTCGGCGGGTCGTGATGAACGAGAGAAACGAAGGGACGAGGCGGTAGCTGCTTGCACGCATGTTTTGACCTCCGCCAGCGACTTCATTCCCAGCTCAGCCACTACTCGCGCGTTGGGCCAAGTCGGCGGGGCCTGGAAGTGAAGCCCGGGATTCCCGGGGGACGAGGGAGCCGAACAGACGAGCCGGGACTCCGGAAAGCTCCCAGAGGTGCCGACGTCAGGCACTAGAGAGCCACAGACACAGATTGTATTTGCCCACTCGGGGCTGCCTGTTCTGAAGTTGTCGTCAAAGCAAAAGTAACGGCAAGGGGGGAGAAGCCGTGTGTTCTGACACCCCGTGTTATTCTCTTCTTCGTCCCTGGATGCGGTTTGTCCTTATGCAGAAGTTCTCTGGCAATTGCTCTCTGGAAGAAACAAAAAGAGCAGAACGGAATGTTTTCATCCTGCAGAAAACGCACGTTGAACAGGTTTCCCTTGTCACCTCCGTTCCCAGGAGCGGAGAGCCAGAGTGAATCTGGAGTGCAGCGTCCCCAGGCCACAGTGACCTGTTACTGGGTCCCTCCATTCTCCGCCCCCCGCCCACCCCTGTGCAGGGACTGCAGGTGCCAGCGACGCAGCAAGGAATAAAACGTGGTCTCCTCCACTTGGCCTCGGCACCGATGCCTACTTTCCGACTACAGGCTCTTCCCGGGGACCAAGATGGACTGTGCCGTCCTGCCCACCGCGGGGGCCCCGCCGGACCCTCCCTCAGCCACTGCTCCCCTGGTGTGCATCCCGGACAGAGGATGGGTCCCTGCTGGGGGCGGGTCCCCGTGCGGGACCACCCAGAGGACGGCGTGTGCTCCCGTGTCCGAGTCAGTCCTGCAAAGTGTAGGAAGCAGTTTGCCGAAGCAACTTGCTGGGAATAACGGAGACCATCTCTGGTCACTGGTGACGTGTCGAGACATCGTGATTTCGGGGGTATCCAGAGAGCTGGGAAACACTGGTGCTTGGACAGGAGAAACAGCCTTGTCCTCGGGCAAGGTGATTTCAGCATCGGGACAGGAAAGCAGCGAACGGCTGGAAGACACGGCCATGTGTCCAGGTGTTCAAGTGCAAGGTGCAGACCAGGTGTTCCTGGAAAGTCTGGAGGAAGGAGAGGCCCTGGAGCCGCCCGAGAGTCAGAAAGCGACGCCTCCCCCTCCGCCCCGTCCCCTCGCCTGTTCCTTGGGGTCCCTCGTGTGGATAAACACCAGGGGTCCGTGTGGAAACACGCTTTTCTTTACAATACTCAGGGAAAGGATTACAATCCCCACGTTCGGAGAAGCGATCAAACCAGGCGAAAGCAGGTTCCTGTTTTCCTTCTACTAAACTGGGAGCACGTAAGATCTTCCTTCTGAAGACGTTGTCACCCTGCCGTCCCCTGAGAGGGCCCGGCCACCACCCGGCTGGAGGACTTTGCAGACCCTTTGCGATGTCGCAGCTCTTGAGAGAGAGCTGAAGAGTTGGCCGAGAGAATCGGGGAGGGCTTTTGCTGATGACGGCAGCACCTGCAGATCTGGGGCGATTTAGGGTGGCCCAGCACCTGTGTGTCCCCCCCCCCCAACGTCTTTGCGTGTCACGTGCCGAGCCGCTGAAGAAGGCAGTTCCAAGAATGCAATGAGGGAACACGTGACAGCCAGCTGGATTAGAGATGAAAGTCGGCAGCCGCACTTGCTGAAACGGCCCGAGTTCTCGAGGACCTACTTCACTGCGTCCTAAATGCCGTGTGTCCGGCTGGCGGTCGGGAGAGGCAGCCTGGGCTCGTGAGCCCGTCTGTTCTCTCGAGGTCACGTTTATCTCCTGTTAGGTGCCCCGCTTGCCCCCAGGGTCCCTCCTGACGCTGTTCTCGCAGTGACCCCGGGGCCTGGCACAGAGTGGGGGCTCAGACAAGCCCCGAGAGAGTGGCGTCTGTTCCAGTTATTTTCAAAAATAAAAATGCAACTCTTTTTTTTTTTACATTTTATTTATTTTTGAGAGAGAGAAAGTGGGGAAGGGGCAGAGAGAGCGGGAGACACGGAATCCGAAGCACAGAGCCCGATGCGGGGCTCGAACCCACGCACCACGAGATCGTGACCCGAGCCGGAGTCGGACGCCCCACCGACCGCGCCGCCCAGGGGCCCCTAAAACTACGACTCTTTTCATGAGAGAGAAGCCGTCACCGTTATCATCTCATTTTTTTAAAGCCTGAGATACAGTAGAGAAGGAGGTTTATGAGCACCTGTTTATGCAGAACTTGACATCACGGGAGCTCACCTCAATTGTGGCAGCCGACGTGCACTTGGTCTGCAGTGAAGCCTTCGGTGGCGTGGGGTCCCCTGCCCGTGAGTCCACACGTGTGCCCTCCCGTACGTTCACACGTGCCTTGCACACACTCGCCCGATATGGCAGGGAGGAGGCAGAGGAAGGAATGAAACCGGAGGCGGAAAAGATCGTTTCCGGATGTTGCACAGCCGTGAAAGAGGGGTTTCACTGCTGTTACTGGTTGTCTGACTGGAGGAACGCACGGAGGTTCGAGGAGCCACGGCCGAGCCTCTGCTCGGCGACTCTGTGACCCTGGCGGGCTCGCCGCGTGGCCCCGTGGTCCCCGGTGCCGTGGCGGGGGCTGCAGCCCGAGCGTTTGGCTCCTGCTCTGCAGTGCTCTGGCCCCAGAGGGTCATGCTCCCCCTTTGCTCGAGTCTCAGCTGTCTAGCTAGCAGCCCCTTCCTGCCACCCACGCCTGCCCCCCATCCCCGCGCCTTCTGGGGTGCGGCATTCTCCTGTGTGTTCCGGGCACTGACGCTCAAGCCCCTCCGGAGGGCCCCCAGCCTCTCCCACCTGATCAATGGGTTGTGCCCGTCCCCTGAATCCTGGGGTCTCCCCTCCACCCACATGCCCACACCAGCCGGGGGACCAGGTTTGGAGACTTGGGGGGACCTCCTGCGTGAGCAGAGACTGCAGTCAGAGGGCTCAGGATGTCAGACAGTGAAGTTTCCCTCCACACACCCCACCCTTCTGACCACTGCTGTTGATTTTCTACCTGCCTGCCGGGAGGCTCGTCCCCAGCAGAGCCCTCGTCTGCAGGGACTATAGGAGGTGATTGGCGTAGCCGTACCTGCTGAGGGAGACTCGGACGCTCTCCCCTGGGGTCTGGGCCACAGGCTGGTTCACCCAGACAACCAGCACCACCATGTGGGACACGTGTACACGTAGACACGTCCCGCGTCCGCCAAAGGTGACAGAATAGTCCAAATCCGAAAGGAAAAGGCACCCGCTTCTAACTGTCCTCACTCCGGGGGCAGCGTCCGGTGGGGCCAGCCCGTTGCCCTCATTCTTGTCTGGGCGGAGGAGGGGGTCTGTTTGCGCTGACCCTGATCCATCCCGGTCTGGGGAGGGTGCTGTGACCTGGGTGTGGCAGCGGTCAGGAGGGAGCGGGGCAGGAGGCAGCCGAATCGCCTCGAGGGCACTCTGTGGACTAGGGATGGAGGCGATGACCCCATCAACCCACACCCGCGTGCGGGGACTTTGTCTTCCAGGCCCAAGAACGTAGACGCCGAGCAGTGTCCTGTGAGGAAAAGGACCCTCTGTTCCCAAGCTCCTGCCCTCAGTCACTTCCCTTCTCGTCACTGTCCCCCCTGAGGGCAAGGCTGTGTGTGCAAACCCCTCGTGCTGGCTTCTGTCCCCGGCAGGTGACGCTGCAGCCACCCTCCCCCCCCCCAAACACCGTGCCTCGTGGGCTGGGCTCCTGGAGCTCGCCTCCCCCGCCCCTCTGGCAGGTCCTTCGGCTTTAGGAGGCTCCGTTGGGGAGGCGTTTTGGGGAGGGGGTGAGTCACCATCACCCTTGCGATGGCCTGTCCGCTGGATGGCGGGTGTCCTCGGCATGGCCGTCTCGATCATGCCAGCGGAGTTTTGTGTCTATCGGGAAATACCGTTGATGCCCCAGGGAGGTGTGTGTGTGTGTATTTTGCTAATTGTGTTCAGCGATCACGACCATGACCCTGAGCTCACCGAACCCCCCCAACGATTGTCCTTCCTTTTTCTGGTTTTCCTTCATGTTGCACCTCAAAATGTGTTTCAGAATCATTAAGGATGCACACAGTGTACTAAGAGCCGTTTAGAGGCTAACTCTCTGTATAAATTTAAGCTGCTCAAAGCTAAAATTTGGGTGAAGAAAGCTCAAAATGAGAGAACCCAGTTTATCTTCAGAATCAGACTGAACCGTGTGATTGGCCAGTCAGGGTGGCCTTCTCAGTGGGGATTTACAAAAGGATATTTAGAATAAAACAAGTGATCTTCCTTAAAATTTCTGAATATTGTTTTTCTGTTTTTTTTAAAGTTTACTTATTTATTTGGGGGGGGAGAGTGAGTGGGGGAGGGGCAGAGAGAGAGGGAGACACAGAATCTGAAGCAGCTCCAGGCTCCGAGGTGTCAGCCCAGAGCCCGACGTGGGGCTCGAACCCACAAACTATGAGATCATGACCTGAACTGAACGGAGTTGGATGCTCAACCGAGTGAGCCACCCAGGCACCCCAGGAATACTGTTTGGTTTTGTAAACAACTCATCTTTTTTTTCCTGATACAAGATGTTTCAGAGAAAGTTAGCGATACCAAAACCCAATGATTCTTCAAACGTGTAACACTGTGCAGTCAATTAGATGAAATTCATCCCACTTCGATGTTGGAGAACGTTTTAAGTGTAAAATTTTCCGATGGCGTATTTATCTTACTGGATTCCACCCCCTCCCCAGACTCCCTCGTAGATCCCCTTGTCAACGCAAATAAAGAAAATGACTTTCAACTCTTACCAAGTTCGGGTGCTGTGTGTTCTCTTTATCAGGTGTTCCTGGTGAGGAAGACCAAGGGGTCTGACACGGGACAGCTGTACGCGATGAAAGTCCTTAAGAAAGCTACTTTGAAAGGTGAGGACTTCACGACGGGGCCGCCGTGTTTGGGACGTGCAGCCGCGGTTTCTACGCTGCCTGCCATTTGCGTGAATACGCGTTCTGTTTGCTGGTGCGTGGTTTCTGAAGCTGTCTCTAAAGGAGTGTGTCAGACACGTTACTCTCCAACCGATGGTAAACAGTAGAAACATTCCCCTGGATATTTAACATCTCCCTGCAAAACTTCCACGATTTTCAGGGAGAAGAGCCATATTGCGTAAATACCGTTCCCCCACATATGTTCTGCCGCGGCGTGCCATTTGGGAAAAAGAACATCGAGGAGGAGAGCAGGAGTGGGTTGCGTGGCTGCCTGTGGACCGTGACTCAGCTTGAGTCTCCAGTCCCACCGGCTTGCTCACTTTCAGCGACACGTGACTCGTGGCCGTGTTGTGTCCCGGTGGCTGGCGGTTAGAGTCCAACAGCTGACCGTGGAGCTCTGTGCCCCTGCCCTCAGGGAAGTGTAAGCACTAAACGCAAGGTCAGAGCAAAACTGCATCCGAGACCCCCATCGCTGGCTCCCAGTCGCCTAGCCCGCAACACATACGAACTAGCACCTGCTCCCGCTCCGATCCCTTCCAGTGACCCTGTCGGTGAGGGAGGGGCCTGTCCCCTGAACAGTGGAAGACGGTCGGCCACCCACACCAGGCCCTGGGCAGGTGTGGCACAGAGTTATTGGTCACATACAGTCCTCACACCCTGGAGAGGAGGGTATGAATGCCAGGCTGGGCCGCACGGGCCGGTACTCAGGAGCAGGGCCACCAAGGACAGGCTGGGCCGGTACTCGGGAGCAGGGCCACCAAGGACAGCAGGGCCACACGGGTCGGTACTCGGGAGCAGGGCCACCAAGGACAGCTGGGCCACATGGTCCGGTACTCAGGAGCAGGGCCACCAAGGACAGGCTTGAGGAGGCAAGATGGCCCCTGTCTCCGTGGAGAATGGGCGAGGCCTGTTTGAATAATTCTGTGGGCTGGCGCGTGTATTGGGTGAGGACCAGATGGGGAGTAGCTGGTCCAGCTTACTGGGAAACCATCAAGGTGGGGGGCTCGCTCAGGGGTGGGGTGATATCTGTCAAGGGCAGGGAGCTCCCAGGCCTTTGGGCTCCGTGAGACTCGAGAATGTCAAGGCAGGTTTTGAATCTTCAGGTCTTGGGACAACGTCCTCAGGGGTACATTCAGGGGGCAACACAAGGAATGTGTCGTTCTCTGCACACATGTTGCTTCCTGTTGCCTGGTGAACAGGGTAAGACAACCAACTTTGTAGGACAGGAAATGCGTAAACCAAATAAATACGGACGTGCACGTCTCAGGCGTTCAAAAGAGAACAGGTGTTTTTCCAAAAGAGGTCGTTCAAGGTCGGAGAGGCTAAGTGAGACTCACTTCCAAAAGGATGGCTGGGGTTACTGGGCAGCAGGTGACCAGATCCAGGCAACCTGGTCATCCCAGGGCAGGGACACCCACTTTGGTCAGGCTGGAGCCTGCCTCGGGATCACCTGTGCGTGTTTGGGAGGGGACATTGTTAGAAACAGACTCCCAGGCCGCACCCCCCTACTGAATCTCAGTCTCTCGGGGCCTGGAATTTGACTTCCTAAACAAGTTGTCTCAGAAACTCTTGTTTGCGTTCTCTGATCGCGGCATTCTGCCTTATTACAGACGCTCGCGAGTTTCATTCAACATTTCTAGTAACCCCATAATTTAAGCCGTGCTCTTTATAGTGAACGTTTTTTCTGGTAGCTGTAATAATATTTCTAAAACTGTCGATGGAACCTGGTCAAATATCCCAAGATGCTCATAATAATGTAATTTTAGAGGATGGTTCTTCAAAAGATACGTAGGAAGCAAAGACGAACCGCAGGAAAATGTACAGGAAACAGAGCAGGCTTTGGCTCCTTGTCCCCAACTTTTAATAATCTCTTTACTCAACAGTAGTTCCATAGAAGTAGCAAAGTAAATTAGACATTTGTTGGTTCAGGATCACCTGAAAAATGGATGTCTGCGGAATAAAGAGTCCCTCTGGCACCTGCTCAGAAGGTTGGACGCAGTCACCTGTGACCCGACCGCCCCACTCCTGTGCTGTAACCAAGAGAAACAGAAGATGTGTGTGCATACAAACACCTGCATGTGATTAGCCGATTCACAAGAGCCAATAACATTTGGGGGAAAGCCCAAAATGTCCATCAACTAATGCACACACAAGTGTGATATAGCCACATAGTGGGATTTACTCAGCAATAGATATGAAGGAAGCCCGCCCTCCGCCCCAGTGTGGACGACACTTGAAAACATTACGCCAAGTGAGAGAAGCCATTCGCAAAGCTCCCTGTATTGTGCGATTCTGCGTGTCCGAAAGTCCCCAGCAGGCAAATCCGCAGAGACAGAAAGTCAACCAGGAGCTGCCGGGGGCCGAGGGGAGAAAGGGAGTGATTGTCAAGGGTGTGGGTTTGTTTCGGGCTGGTGGAGAACTTTTCAGATTGACCGGTGACGGTTGCATAACTCTGAATATTCTAGAAATGGTTGATTTGCACACTTTAAATAAGTGAATTGAATGGTATACGAATTATAGCTCAGTAAAGCTGTCATCTGAATAATGAATTGCTGAACAACAGGGCCATTTGCTAAAACCCTCAAAGCACTGAGACTGACTCTCCAGCACCACGTGGGCCGAATCCGCAGCCTGACAAGGGAGCCACGTCGTTCCCACGATCACACCCCGGCCTTCTCTCCGTCGGCAGATTCCGCGTCAACCTCCCCGGCAGTGACCTTACGGTCCCTTTTCCCTTAAGTCATAACTGTCCCTTCTTCCCCTCAAATACAACCTCACCATCTCCTGCCCTAAAAGGAGAAGGAGAAATAGTAGGAGTGACATTGGAACCCCGATCAGGGAACCCGCACTGTGCACCTGCTCGGGAAAAGCAAAGTGAAGTCAAGGAACTGGAATCTGTTCTCTGTTTACCCCGCCGCTGCGCCTGCATTCTGCCAGCATTAACCCTGACCTCCGTGCTCAGGCCAAGCACCCTGGCTCAGTGATTCCACCCTCCGTGGATGCACGTCTCCACACTTGTTTTGTTGATAATCCAACCCAGTGTCCTTGAGAAAGCGCCCCGGGCACGGTGTTACAAGGACTAGACGGGATACAAAGCGTGTCCACACATCACAGTATTGTGACATGCGTGGATATCTCCATCAGCACAGGTACGTGCATGTACAAGCAAATAGGAAATCTGTGTCACGCTGGTGGGAAATACGCCAAAATGAACACGGTTACGGGATTCCTGGTAGCCTGTATTTTCTTCCCTATCGTCTATATTTCAAGTTTTCAACGAAAATGAAACACGTGTGACTTTTATCACGTAACGTTATTTGCAAAATATTCCAGGACAACGTGGTTGACTACACAAAGTCATGTTTACATGGTGAGAACGAGCCTCATCGGCATAAAAGGGTAGAAAACTTTCCCATGTCCTTTGCTCCTTTAAAACCTGCCTCTCGAACCAGACATTGTTTGACATCCTTTACTGTTTCAGCTTTTCGTAACGGTCCATCAGTACAGAACAGACTTTTTCTTTCCAGAAATGCAATGGGGATTTGTTTTCTGAAGAGAAAATGAAAAGATCAAAAAGCAGTGTTTCACGCGAGGGGCACCCCATCCCAGGAACACTCGTTACGTGCGGGCAGGAGGCCAGGTGTCTCCGCGCCCCTAACCAGGCTTCGCCTCGGGAAGGACCCTTGCCTTCTCCGAACCTCCCCGCCTCCTGGCTCACGGAAGGAGGGGCTTGGCTCAGAGGATTGTTTATTTATTTATTTTTTTTTTAATTTTTTTTTTTTCAACGTTTATTTATTTTTGGGACAGAGAGACACAGAGCATGAACGGGGGAGGGGCAGAGAGAGAGGGAGACACAGGGAGACACAGAATCGGAAACAGGCTCCAGGCTCTGAGCCATCAGCCCAGAGCCCGACGCGGGGCTCGAACTCCCGGACCGCGAGATCGTGACCTGGCCGAAGTCGGACGCTTAACCGACTGCGCCACCCAGGCGCCCCTCAGAGGATTGTTTAAATTTGCTGGAGCTCCGACCCCCCTGCATCCCGTTAGCCCGAGTTCTTCAGACACTCTCCACCTTGGTGTCGGCACCAGTTTGCAGGCTGATTAGTAAGTCTGCGGAATGTGCCAGAGGGGCCAGGAATGCACTGTGGCAGTGACGCTCCCGCTCGCCTACGACACCCGAAGAAGGTGCAGACAATGCAAGGAGTTTGAACGGTGAAACCATTTGGAGAAGGGAACCGTGAAAAGGGGGCGGAGGATGTGCAGAAGTCTTTGCAAAGCTGCAGATTGCTTCTCCGAGCCATGGATGACTGTCACGTGTGCACAGGAGAGAACCGGTGTGGGCAGAATGCCAAACCACCCGACGTAAGGATAATAGTCTCTGACAGCTCTAGTTAATCTTTAAATAACTGAGGAGTTGTGGGGCGCCCGCACCCCTTTCTTTGACGAGGTGACACATTGCTTGTAGGGAAATGTCAGCTGCTCCGTAGCTGAGGCTGTGGGGGCTGGCAGCACCCCCACCCCGGCCCCGTCTGGTCTTCCCAGCACATTCCCCCCACCTCACGGGCGTGGGGTGCAGGGTTCAGGGCACGGGGTGCAGGATGCGGGACGGAGGGTGCGGGGTGCAGGGCGCTTGCCTCCTGGTTGCTTCAGGACCCTTTGCAAATGTCGGGCTTCTTTCGTAACTCTGTGCTCATCACTCAATTATTCACTGAGTTCTTACGGTAACAGTGTTATAGACGGTCTTCCACACATCGTAAACCCAAAGGCTGACGCCTTGGGAGTGGGGCTCAGACGGCTGTAGGCACCGTCCCAAGCCTGACACCAGGAATAAAGGCGGCCTGGTCTCCATGCCCTAAGTGAGTCTGCCCGCGGGGACGGTCCCCCACCTTAGTAACAGGGCTTCCCCAGCGTGGCTACAGGCTGCACTGGCCTGCGGGACT